AAAACGAAGTTAAAATAAAACAATTGGAAAAAGAAAAAAAGAAAAAGAAGAAAGACAGGCAGAACTTGAAATGAAGGAAAGGTTAGAGATAGAGAAGATGAAAGAAAAAGAAGATGAATTCAAATTAAAACAGGCAAAACTTGAAATGAGGGAAAGGTTAGAGATGGAGAAAATGAAAATTGAAATGGTCAACAAAGTAGAAAGCAACACTAATATAGAGTCAAAATCAGATCATTTTGATGCGGCAAAAAAATATACGTTTACTTCCCAGATTTTGTGAAAAAACAGTTGATAAATATTTTCCACAGTTCGAAAAAATTGCTCAAAATTTGAAATGGCCAAAGCCTTATTGGACCACAATGCTGCAAAGTGTTTTTGAAGGCAAATTTTGCTAAGGAAAAAGAATATATATTTGATAAATGGCTTACGTCAAGAAAATAGATAACAATTTTGATAAAATAAGACAATTGATGTTATTAGAAGAGTTCAAGCATTGTGTTCATTTAGACTTAAAAACACATTTAGATGACAAAACTGTTGAAACATTACAAGATGCAGTTGTTATTTCCGATAATTATACCCTTTCACATAAAAGAAATTTCAAAAGTCAAAATTTTAATACTTCGAGTGGAAATTACAAAAATCAAAGTACTGAGAGTACTGATAGTAAGCCTGTTGCACATAATAAGAGTCAGTCTAGTTATAATATGTCTAGTCCAAAATTTGATACTTTTGAGAAGAAGTCACTAACTTGTGCTTATTGTAAGAAAAGTGGTCATCTGATGGCTGATTGTTTTAGACTCCAGAAGAAGAATGAAAGGGATAATAAGCCCAAGTCCAGTGCTTGTACGACACCCCTTGTTACCCATACGTTCGAATGTCCTGCGAGTCAGGCTTTCAAGTCCAGTTTTTGTGATTAAATTGAGGATTATTAACCCTTTATGTCTGATGGGTTTGTTTCTACTGTTGATAATACTACTCCTCAGCCTATTAAGATTTTACGGGACACTGGAGCTTCTCAGACTTTATTGTTAGGAGGTGTGTTGCCTTTGTCCGAGGAGACTTCTGTTGGTGCCTCCGTTTTGTTACAAGGTGTGGAGTTAGGTTGTATAGATGTTCCCGTCCATCGTATTTATCTGAAGTCAGATTTGATTACTGGACCAGTTGGTGTGGGTGTTCGTCCTAATCTCCCTGTTGAGGGTGTTTCATTATTGCTAGGAAATGATCTAGCTAGGAACAAAGTGGTTGCTGAACCAATTGTTACCAGTGAAACGGTTGTGGATGTAAAATCACCGTAAGATGATGCTGAACTGTATCTAGCTTGTGATGTTACTAGGGCGATGGCAAGAAAACAAAAAAGAAGACCAGTATGTTTACATGGACCTTTCTGACACTTTCCTTGCCGACAGTGACGGTTCCTGTGGCTCAGAAAATGCCATGATAAGACCACCTAGTACTAACAAGAATGTAATTATGCCATGACCAGACGTTAACTGCCATTCATTAGACAGAAGAAAATTTGTAGAAGAACAAAATAAAGAACCTGAGGTTCTTCAGCTGCACAAGAGGGCTCAACCACAGGAGGAAGCTGACAAAGTGGCCGAATGCTATTACCATCAAGACGACATTTTAATGAGAACGTGGAGCCCCCTAATGCTATCCCAGAGGAGGAATGGAGAGTGGTATACTAAGTGGTGGTGCCTAAAGTCTATAGGCAAGACATTATTGGTCTTGCCCATGATAACCCCTTGGCTGGACATTTAGGTATAAGGAAGACTTGCCTTAAGATCTTGCAGCTTTTCTACTGGCCCAGACTTAGAAATGATGTCACAGAATACTGCAAGTCATGCCATATATGCCAGGTTGTTGGTAAGCCTAACCAGAAAATACCACCAGCACCACTTCTGCCAATTCCAGCCTTTGAAGAACCTTTCAGCAGAGTACTAATTGACTGCGTTGGACCTTTACCGAAGACCAAGACTGGAAATGCGTATTTATTGACGATCATGTGTACATCCATTCGCTTTCCTGGGGCTATTCCGCTAAGGAATATCAAGACGCAAACAATTGCCAAAGCTCTTATCAAGTATTAGTAGGACTTTCTAAGTCTATACAGTCCGACTAGGGTTCAAATTTCATATCAGGTTTATTTCAGCATGTCATTTACCAATTAGGGATTGCTCAGTATAGGTCAAGCGCTTATCATCCAGAATCTCAAGGTGCCTTAGAACGTTTCATCAAACATTGAAGAACATGATTAGAACTTTTTGTCTTCACTTTGACAGGGACTGGGATGATGGTGTTCACTTTCTACTTTTTGCGGTCCGAGAGGCTGTTCAAGAATCCCTTGATTTTAGTCCCTTTGAGTTGGTATTTGGTCATACTGTAAGGGGACCATTAAAATTGATTAAGGAAAAATGGCTTACTAAACACTGACTTGAATCTTCTAGACTATGTATCTAGATTTAAAGAAAAATTGTATACTGCTTGTCAAACTGCTCAGAACAATTTAAAAAAATGTTCAGAATAAGATGAAAATATGGTATGATAAAGATGCCAGGGACAGATTTTTTGAGCCTGGTGATAAGGTACTTGTATTTTTGCCAGTCCCTGGACATCCTTTACAGGCTAAATAGTGTGGTCCTTATACAATAGAGAGTAAAATCAATGATTTGAATTATATTGTAAAAACTCCAGGTCGGCGTAAACAAAACAGAGTGTGTCATATTAATATGTTAAAACCATATTTTGAGCGTACTAATGAAGGTGAGAGTAAACCAGTTGCCACTTTAGCCATGGTTAATTTGGAGAACAATCATGACAAACCAGATATAGTTGAACCACCTTTTAATTCTAAAACTATGGAACAAACAGTTGGATTGAAAAATTCAGAAATTTTGTCAAATTTAGACTCCTAACTTGCACATCTGACTTTTGATCGTAGAGAAAAATTAAAAACTTTGGTATTTTCTTTTTAAAAAATTTTCCAGATGTGCCAAACAAAACCACTGCCGTTTGTCATGATGTCGATGTAGGTGATGCTTCTCCAATTAAGCAACATCCTTACTGGCTCAATCCACTCAAACTTGAATTTATGAGATAAGAAATTAAATATATGCTTGACAATGATATTATTAAGCCGAGTAACAGTGAATGGAGCTCTCCTTGTCTCCTTGTGCCCAAACCAGATAAAACTTTTCGTTTCGTAACTGATTTTAGAAAAGTAAATTCAGTTTCAAAATCTGATACCTTTCAGATTCCAAGGTTAGACGACTGCATTGATAACATTGGACAAGCAAAATTTGTGAGCAAATTTGATTTATTGAAAGGTTACTGGCAAGTACCATTGACACAGAGAGCTCGTGAAATATCAACTTTTGCAACACCAGACGGCTTATTTCAGTATAATGTCATGCCGTTTGGTATGAAAAGTGCTCCAGCTACATTTCAAAGGATGATCAATAATGCTATAAAAGATTTAGACTGTTGTAATGCTTATACTGACGATCTTATTGTATGTAGTGATAGCTGGGAAGAGCATTTAACACATTTATATGATACTTTTGATAGATTGTCACAATCAAATGTGACTGTTTATCTTGGTAAAAGTGAATTTTGTCAGGCCACTGTTGATTATTTAGGGCATACAGTTGGCCAAGGTCAAGTGAAACCTATTATGGCTAAAGTGGATGCAATTGCCAAATTTCCTCCTCCTACAAATAAAAAACAACTTATGAGATATTCAGGCATGATTGGATTTTACAGAAAATTTTGTTCAAAATTTGCTACTGTTGTTCAACCATTGACTCATCTTTTACGGAAAGATTCTAAATTCATCTGGAGTGATAATTGTCAAAACGCTTTTGAAAATAGCAAATCACTTTTAATTAATAGTCCAGTTCTGATCACTCCAGACTTCGAAAAACAATTCAAACTTGCTGTTGACGCAAGCGATGTAGGAGTTGGAGCTGTTTTATATCAAGAAAAAGATGATAATGTTGAGAAACCTATTTCATATTTTTCAAAGAAATTAGATAAACATCAGAAAAATTATTCAACTATTGAAAAAGAGTGTTTTGCACTGTTGTCTGCACTTCAAATTTTGATGTATATTTAAATCCCACTATGCATCCTGTTCTTGTTTATACTGATCATAATCCTCTCACCTTCATACATAAAATGAGAAATAAGAACCAGAGGTTGACTAGGTGGAGTGTATTGTTACAGGAATATAATGTTATTGTGAAACATATCAAAGGTAAAGATAATATAATAGCAGATGCTTTATCTAGATTGAATTAAAACAGTGAATACATACATGTACTATATATTTTTGTACATATTTTTCATGAAAAGTTCTCGTTACACTCAAACTTCTTTTAAGGGGGGAGGTGTTATGATATTATAACTATCATGTTTATTTAGTTGGCCTAATTTGCTGTTGTTGTGGCCTTATAGTTGTTTACAAAATAATATTGTAAGTGTGCAGTTAAGAAATCACTGGAACAATCAGGGAATGATTAGAACTTTCTATTTTACTTACATAACGATTCCAGAATGATCATAATAAAAGATGCGTAATTTAAACGTCAACAGAAATTTCCGTTCTAAAGTTTACTAGGAGTTTCCTTTCTACAGTGTTCTTGAAGTTTCCGTGACAACTATATATATACAGACACTAAAGTTAAACTTTCAGACATAGACATTAATATTCTCATAAGTTCCCTCAGTTGGATTGACACTTTTATTCACGTTAACTACATTATACTAGATTGTGACTTGTGTCTAATTGGACATAATATTCTGTTTGGATTCCCGCAACACTGAAGAGAAGAATTCCGGATAAAGAAAAAGAAAAGACAAAAGATCGGACATATATTTTGACAGTTAAGTTGACATTTCTATTTGTGTAATACTTCTTGTAAACTTGTGTATACTAAATCTTGTTAAATTTTATTATTGATTTGTGTCTTTTGTTGGCTACAATTTAAAGGTGATTTCTGGCCGTAACCATATTCTAATCCAGAATATCAGTACGTATGCTTTCCATTTACTATTTCTTGTGCAAGAAAACCACATGCATGCATATTAATTTCACTTGCGGAATGTGAATTTTCGCATTTCCCATCTAAAATTCAGGATCCGGACACGGCAGTAAGAGCTTTGCACGGGATTTTGGAGTATGGTAATCAATAAGGTATTCTGACCTGTGTTTATTTTTCTTTTCTTTTTATTTCTATTTTGAGTGACTGTCCGATTGACTTTTATCAAACATATCATATTATGTATATTGGTTATATTGAGAGCAAGTGGAGGTATAAATAAACTTCTGAAAACAAGATATTCTTTCAAACTAATTTTTTCCTGTAGAATATTCGGATTGATTAAATCCTTAAAACTTGAGATGCGACCAAAATAATTGTCAGTATATAAGAGGTTCTAATAAAGCTTGTGTATTACTCTCAAGAACAAAATTTGAAATCTTCTTACAAGTTGCATGACACAAAGCTACACCTCACATGATAATTTCAATATCTCTATTCCACCTCTTCCATGAGGACAGACAGCTTCAATGACGAGTTTAAATTTAATTGAAGACATCCAGGAAACAAAATATAAAGATATAAAAGATAAAAAAAAATGCATTCAGATAATAAACCAAACTGAGTGCTGTCATTTTATTAAGATTGGTCTGTGCAATTTCAGCTTTAAACATTCAGATTGCAGAAACTGAGAATTGCAATAAAATAAGGATTTATATTTTAAACGGAGCAAACATGATGTACTTCCAAGAAATTAGTAAAATAGTAAAGCCGTAAAAGGTAAATGTAAATGGTAAATGTATACACTTTTCTATTTACAACTAAAATCCAACGGTGCTTCTAATTGACTTTGCAAAAATTAACACACAATTACATATTTTCAATAAAGGTATTTTAACATCAGCAATACCTTATTCATTCAGAGTTGGTTATTTCAAATCCGGCAAAAATCCAAAATAATGGTGACAGGTCAGCGGTTTCGGGTTCACGAATTGATTTTCTTTTTTTTAATGAAAGCAATTAGGTTTATAAGGTGCCACCTATCCGGTAGATGCTTGAATTAAAGAACAATCTTCTTCAGAACTTTGTATACCGTAACATCAAAGACAGCGCCAATAAAAAAGAAAATTCACATATCATTAAGTCAAACGCGTTAGAGTACACTGCTTATAAAAATCATTTACAAATATTAACCTATGACTCAAAAGATCCAGCCTCAGGTGAAACTATATACGCCTTTGTTACAACATCAAAAACTGTTACAAAGTTTAAACATTCGTCTGACAATTTTACAGTGTACACTACAGAGATGATGTCTATTTACCAATCATTAAAATGGTTACCTTTCCATCAAAAGTCAGAACAAGAAGTTCTTATACTCACTCATTCAAATAGTGATATCCAATCTATACAAAATGATGTATCAAGTAGACCCGACATCCTAGAACCAATTCAAATAATTATAGCTTGACGACTCATGATCAAACAACAAATAGAGAAGTCACCATAGAATGAATTCCAGCTTATGTCGGTATCCTAGGTAATAAACGGCTGACAAACTAGCAAAATTAGCCTTAACTAATGATAAAAACCTATGTTAACATTAATCTTAGTGCAAACGATTTTATTGTTATAACAACATCATTATATAAGAAAAAAATGGCAAACTAGGTTGGACAGAGATTTCCAATAAAATGACATACGTACATAACTCGACGTACGGACCTAAGGGGACTGGTTATTGCCAACCATTGATTTTGGTTAAATACGTCGCTCAAGTTAAAACCAAGTATTCCAAGATTATTAAAACCACACAATGGAATGTTCGTCCATATCAAATGATTTTTACGGGATATAAAATGATAGAAATATTGTGTTTTTTTATATATCACGTGGTTCTCCAGATTCCCGCCTGAATTTGCTCTGACATAAGATCACGTATACAGTCCGGGATGCGGTTCGATAAAATTGCTCCCCTTGTTTATTTCGCTCTCCTGTCAAATCATGTAATTTCGCTACCTCCAATTGTAGACGCGACAACGATTGGTGTCGTCAGGACAGATACGATTAAAGGAATCAGTTAGGAATTAGACGATCCTCATTGGTATAGGTGAGTTGTTTAATAGTTGTTGCTTTAGGATAAATGCATGTTTTAGATTATTTCATAATCAGGAATAATAGGAGTGTGCCACCTACACATTCAAACATGTACACAACCACAGTTTCCCCTATCTATCTAATGTGTTTTCATAATTATGCGATATAGGGCAAAAAAAGGTAGCAGTTTTTTGTGTCTTGTTGTTAAGCATTTCCAGGGGGAGATAATATTATTTTTTACGGGTGTTTGATAGGTTTGTTACACTGTAACATTATATAATACACACTCATAAAGTTGCTAGAAAGCGCCTCTCACACGCAATTAACTCAATTTCAATTATTCTATTTACCGGGTTTTTGTAGTCCTATAATATAAGACTTCGGTGGTTCATATCATTTACATTCAACGTTTTTTGTCGGATTTTTTTTTACTTTCAATGTTGCACGGTTGATAGTAAAAATAAAATCCGATAAAAACGTTGAATGTAAATGATATGAACCTCGGAAGTCTTATATATAGTCCTATAATATAAGACCTCTGAGGTTCATATCATTTCCTAGCACATTCAACGTTTTTATCGGATTTTTTTTACTATCAATGTGGACGGTACATTCAACGTTTTTATCGGATTTTTTTTACTATCAATGTTGAACGGTTCAACATTGATAGTTAAAAAAATCCGGTAAAAACGTTGAATGTAAATGATATGAACCTCCGAAGCCTTACATTATAGGACTACTGGTTATTGGTTCTTTATCCTAACTAAATGTTTTTGTGATGTATATTACAAAAAAGGGGGTGCTTTAAAAACACCGAAATACCTTAACAATCCTACAATACCTGTTTACAGAATAAGAGAGATATTTCGTATTTTAAACCTAACTTTTCTCACATATTTGTTAGATATGTTGAAAATATAGCCAAATGTTAAATACGTATATCCATCCCCTCTTTTTCAATTCATTAACTAAACAGACAGCATTAAAGAAAAGGCAATAACCGAACATTGATAATTTAGCAATGAATTCAGTACATTTTCCCAACAAGTAAAGACCAATGGAAACATTTGATATGATTTGAATACATGGTCAATTAAGTAGGATCTTGCGGTTTCGTAGACATTAATGATAATTAAACATTTTCTTCTTATATTTTTCTTTATTTCATATACTAGTATATATCATAACATGTATATATTTTGTGATGCATCTGATGTATAAATCCAGTGGCAGATCCGTGGAAGAGTCCTGTGTTCAGATCTGTTTGTATGGGGAACATGTGGATGGAACCCCCGCTTTAATTGCTTGTTTGATTTTTTTTTTTGCAGTGTCGAAAATGATGATAGACAGTAGTTTTATCAAGAAGTTATGGAGATTGTTCCCGAATAGATTCCTTAACATCACAGTGTATAAGAGACTAATGAGCCTCGTCTAGTGCAAGCAACTGACATGCCCTACCTGTTACGCTGACGGAAAAGCCCTCACTTTGAAAGCACGTTAAAATGTTGTGTGGAAGTTCTGCTATACATCTGACAGTCAGATGTCTTGGAATTATTCTGAAGTACATATGCCGACCAAAGGCAGGGAACAGAGGGGAGAGGTTTTAAAGTGATGCTAATTTGAGATTCCAATTTGAACTATAGAAAGCAATATATAAAGATATGTAGGAGAAATAATCTATATGAATAAAATTATCCCACAATAGGAACTGTCTTTTTTCCCCCATACATACTTTGTCAAATTTATCTATAACAGAAGGGATGTTAATGTATCCTTCATATATTTGTAATACTGATGGTAATTCAGATGCACAGTTGTTGTCCTTCTGCTTCATATATTTATTAACACAAGCTATATTTTTTGGTGATACAATTCATGAGATGATATAGCAGTGCCATTGGTTTCCCCTCTCTCTTTGTTCAAAGAACTTGATCATCTGAACTCTTTTTTTTTTTAGATTGGAGTTCTGTTCAAGAACAGTTAAAAGAACATATGCTTAATTTTCGTTATCTTTTTAAGACCAGCTTCATGATCAAAATAAATTTTAAATAAAACAGGCTGCACATTCTATAAAATATGCCAGTCAACCGGAAATGTTAACACACAAACAAGGTCTTCAGTATATTCATTTTTAAACTTACAAAATATGTCGAAGGTTTAAGCATCCCCAACAATTACCATGTGACTTGGATTTTTGATTTGTCAATATCAAGCAAATTGTCGATATTTTCCAAAACATGATAATAGTTCCGTTTTTATTATCAACAACAAAGGACTTACTCTTGTATAAAACTGTAACAGATTATCAAAGACTGTCTACAAGTACAATTTTAATCCAAGCCGCTGTTCTTTTAAGCACCGTGTTAGCGACGGCTTAGTTGATTGTAAGGGTTGGGTGCAGAGCCTGAAATATTTGTCTTTAAATAATCAGACTTGAGACAATAACATGGAGGTAAGTATGTTTAAGGACAACGTTTTCAAGGTTGGTTTGAACAGTGCGAAGGTCGTCTTGGAATGAAGAAAAAAGATGATGACAGTCTTTGTGCTGGTTATTTACATAAGGGAACGACCATTTAACTTCAAAATGTGAAAAAGGGGAGGGGTAAGATTTATTCCAAAAAAAATATCGTCTGATCCCCCAATTCGATGGAAAAAATATTTTTGTCAGGCAAAATTTACAACCAAAAAAATATTATGAATTCTGACTTCCCCATACCTTATAGTGTTAAATTTTGAAAAAAAAATTATTTGATTGATGGAGGCGGAAAAAAAATGTTCGAACTCAGACAAGAAAACCATACCCCCTTTGAAATTAAATGGTTGCTTCCTTGTTGAGGGATTGTTTCCTGGCTTGCTTTGATAGAGTATTGTTGCATGTTTCACAGATGTTGTTTTCTTTTGATAATTAAAAATGTTCTTCCTCTTGATTGCAAGCAAATAATTAGTATAACGTCTAAGTCGGGAATTTGACGAAGATCGCGTTGGCGGGCGATTTTCTCAGACCAATGTGGCATACTACATGTTATTGACAAGAAATGTATCGTGTCCCGCGATCGTTTACAACGCGATTCGCAAAGAAAAACTTTGGTGGGATTAGTTGGCGACTCAATAATATGTTCCTCCATAACTTCCAAAAACTTTGACATATAAAGTATTTCAAGATTATGTTGTCCGATGTTTACACATTACTGACGGATGTCTGGTTTTTTTTTTCTCTCTTACATGGTGGCTTTCCTGAAATAATTTCGCCATTTTTATATTGCATTCATTGCAGATACAATCATCCGACCGTATGTTAAACATACTGTTAGACCAAATTGAAGATAATCTGAGGGTTTGCATGAGTTATGGTAACACCGCCAATAATTGATTGACTAACATTTCACGCACAGTAGGCATTTGTGTTTAGATATGAAGTTCATCATACTTTGGGTTAATATGTAAAAGATTTTTGTTGACTACTTCATGAAACACAAATGCAATTTCAAGACTTAATTTTTAAATTATCCATAAAATAATCTTTTCAAAAACAATACTAATTATGGGGCACTAGTAGCGACATTGTTAGCTGTAAATAGGACCCTAAAAGTTTGAACAAGAATGAAAACACACTAGAGTAATATAAACGTATGTGTAGTACATGAAATATGAAGATACTCGTGTACTACTAGTAGTTGTAATAGTGAGCATGTATGAGAAAAACTGAAAGTATAGCGAGCCACCGTATAAGGTAAAAACTAATATTAGTGAGTCCTTATGCAAAGAACTTTAATATTCTTGAATCTGTTTCTGAGTTGTGAAGAACTAACATACAACTAACAGTAGGACAGTTATTTAAGTAAATTACTATAATACAATCGAGTCCTTATGCGAAGAACTATAATAAAATTCAGTCTAATGTCAAACAGTTAACTAAGTCAAAATCTCGTATGCACGACTCTTAATGTCTAACAATTTTCGACTGTGGGTAAACTATTGAGAAAAGAAAAAACAATTAAATGATATTAAATCAAATCTTATAAATAATATTAGCGATCAAAGAAAAAATATCACATTATGTCGACGGACAATTGTAAGATGCTATAAGATTGAATAAAAATGTATCGAAAATGTAACACAAGAGAAATCGACGAAACAACTGCAATCCCAATTTAAGATGCAAACACATCAAAAGAAAAAAAAATCACACGATGTCGGCGGGCAACTGTCGACTTTTAAAACATTGTATGATCGAAACATATGACAAAAAAAAAAACCCAACTGCAATAAACAAATAAGACGCAAAGAGTCACAAGAAATAACAAGATAACGCCATTGGCGACTTGTCAATACTGTATGATCGAACACAAACATAGCCAAAACATGACACCAAAGAAATAAGACGCAAACTAAATTACAAGAAATTACAAGATCAATATAAGATGTATAAAAAATAATTCCGAAAGTACAATTGTTTAACAAAAACAAGAGGAATACAACGATAGAAATCTATGCTACTCCAAAATCTCAACTTGTCAACCAATCCGGGTTACCGCATAACTAAGGTGTAACAAAATGTGTAAAAAACTTTTTAAATAATACAGAAATTATGACTGTCGGAGTAATTGTTATTGTTTAAGAAAAAAAACATGTCAAACATGCAAATATTATTTTTAAATAATAGTTTTAATCACTAAAAAGTCATGTGATGTTATATATATAGGACGGAGTGTGTTCGATGCATTAATCAATGAGGAAAACCCCGCCATATAACACCCAACTTTGAAAATGCGTACAAATGTCAAATTTAGGTGTGCCACTTTAGGAATGGTCTTAACCGATTGATAATTTATTTCTCAATATTCGTAATTTTTCCCAGATTTTTTCTATGTCGGGCAAAAAAATGTAGCAGTTTACAAGGAGACCCCCTAATTGACGTAACAACTTGACTTATGGTCGTTTTAAAAACGATTGTTTGCAAGTTGCATTGTTAACAGTTGTACAATATGAAAATTTATTAACGTGAATGCAAATATTCATAATGTTTTTACGGAAAGTAACTTTTGTGTCATCTTGACAACCGTACACAAAGTTCATTTCACTTTTCTACCTTCTAAACACAAGAGTTCGAATTCTTTTGTTCTATTTAATCCGCATACCGGACTGTATAGACACGTATCCCTTACCTATTATACGGTCGATTTGAGTTGGTTTTGATAATGAGATTTATTTTTCAATATTGCAGATATACGCTCCATTATTCTATATTTAGAATGCAAACTTTTTTCGTTATCCGATGCTTTATCCATTTATTTATATTTTGTGGGGAAAATATGTTTTAGAAGGATACTTTGCTGACAAAATTCAGAAATGTCGAAATCATTGTTTGTCTGGATTTGTATATGATTGATTAAAGTTGAAAATTGAGATAAAACCAGTTTTTTCCATTTATTATAAAATTATTAAATAAAAAATTCCCTATAGAGGTTGTATTTTAGAAGGTGTGCTCGATTAAGGATTGTTCTGTGTTTTCTTTTTTAACTGGAATGAAAGTTTAAAATGCTATACGAGTCCAAATACAAAAGACATTTCCAGGCAAAATAATTTATATCCCTCGAAGTGCCTTCACTTATTGTATTTTATCCATTTATTGATAAATAATTTATAGAGGGTCACCGATTTTTTTTAACTGTTTAAATCATTCTAGTGCATGTGTCACAAGTCAGAAATATAGAAAAAAATAAGATGATAAGATTTTGATGCGCAATGCATTCCAAACGCACGCCAATATTTTCCTTTTCGATGTTTTTATTCCCAATGCAGTGTAGAATTGCGTAACGCTAAAATATAAGTATCAACAGGATTTTGGACAGTGTTCATTGCATATGTAGTTTGAATATGCATATTCAGGACGTGAAAATGAATATGAACCCGACTTTGTACTAGTCCTACACGCTGGTCTACAGTTTTTAAAATGCTATTTCAAAAGGTCCACAGGATGACATAACACTCGACCCGGAAACATAATTCTTATTCCAGACTATACATTTTGCTCTTACTCCTATACTGTATATCGCGTGCTTAGCAGAGATGACTCCCATCTTTGATTTGAACCATCCGGATATCGAACCCAGGACTTTCCGCACCCAAGGCGAGCAAGCTACTACAGGACCACAGAGGCGGTTATGAATATTGAAGATGCACATACCTGTATATGTATATTCAAACATAAGAAACAAGAATATGTGGCAGTTACACACTGTGCCGCCTGACATTATCACATCTCCATATTCAGAAAACAAGTTAATTGGAGTAAAACCCTTAATTTTTAAAGTTTTAAAATTGGAACGGGACGGATGAACGGACGGACAAAGAGACAAGAAACTATAATAATCCCTTGCTATTATTAAAGGGAGGCGAATGATACAAAAGTGATATTAAAACTCATAAGTCGATAAAAAAACAAACAACGCAATGGCTAAAAAATAATAAAAGACAAACAGAAAAATAACAGTACACAAAACACAACATAGAAAACCAAAGACTGAGCAACACGAACCCCACAAAAAACTGTGGGTGATCCCAGATGTTCCGAAAGGGTAGGCAGATCCTGCTCTACATAAGTTGGTTATAAAAATAAAAGAATCCTACTCAACAAAACTACAATGAATAATTCGATACATGTCTTTGTCCGTTTTTCAGACGTATTTGTTTAAGTTGCACTC